CATATTACATAGACGCGACGTGAAAAGCCTCGTTAAGGCCCACCAGATAAACACCAAAAGCAAAAGAGGAATTTCAGGTACAATTTTGGGTTAACCGGCTGGCTGCTTTCTAAAAGTAACAGAACGCATTTCGGAAACGTCAAAAGTGAGCATAAATATGCCTGGGAAAATCATTTAAAATTTTATGTCTAGAGCGTTATGAAACAAATCATACCAGCTATATTGTGGACAGTGCGATTGATAAAGACTTAACCAGATGAGGATCCAACATATTTTTCAAAAAGCAGCGCTTTCTTTCTTCCCAAAATTAAACTTTCGATTTCTTTTTGCGATGGTACAACAACGTGTTGAATGAATGTCTTCTTGCCATCCTCGCTGATCAAAACGGATTCTTTAGTATCAACATCTTCATCCGAATCCTAAAAGTTATCAACGAAAAATGTGGAATTTTTACCAGAAGGTGAGGAAGTGAGCCTAAAGATCAGTGCATCGCAGACAGTGATGCGAAGTCCCCGTACGACAGTGCTGTCTTGGAACAACTTGACAGCTATCCTGGAGAGGAAGCAAATATGGGTCAAAATCCCCACTCGGCGAATGCTCGCAGAAGCGCTGCCGGTTGGCGGAAATTTCACAACAGTTAACGTCCTCAAAATACCAGACCGAAAGGTGCACGCTCACTTCTCCACTATTACTGAGCTGAACGCAACGATGTAAGGATGCGAAAAGTGGTCGGTTATGAAATTCGAAAAGCAATGATGTAAGGATGCGAAATGTGGCCAGTTACGAAAGTTGAAGAGCGAATGTTGGTTGCTAAAAGAAACAGCGATGAAGCGAAATATGCTTGCCCTGTCTCCTCACGACCACATAAACAATCAGACTCTCCGTCAGATGACTGACACGCAGGATGTTATTGCGAATACGCGAGAAGGTAAAATTTGATGGATATATGTTGACTGCCTGGCCAACAGCTGGCAGGCGTAGAGCACTACAGAGTGGTACCCTCAAAAAAAAAAATTGCCACTCGGACGGATAGAGTACACACGATGAAGGGTCGGTGGGCGTTAATTACAGATATGCAGTCCGAGATCGAAGCGGCTCAAGATAGCTGCGCCTGTGTGTGGTACATCTCAGTAATATCACTAAAATGGAATATTCACTCCGATTGCTCGAGCTGTCTTGATATCGTTG